TTAATCTCGCCTCGTCCTTCCCTTCTCCCCACACGTCGTCTCACTAGCCACCCGTTTGTGCGAGTACGACAAAATCTTAGGTCGTCAATCCAGCAAATTTCAGGCACAATGGCAACAGAGACTAGGTGGCAGGTGGCAGTTAGTATGGGAAGAACGAGCGAAGTTGAAGGCTTAATAAACAAATGTTTTGACTTTCCTCGGCCAGTAGAGGGTTGGTGGAAATTTTTTTTGGTCCTGACCTAAAGTTTTGGCTGACCTAACGATTTTTACTGGACTGTAAGAGGGGCACCATTTTAACCTGACAAAATAAATAAAACTTCCTTTGGGGCTTCACCTTGCAAACCTAAATATGTAACTTGACCTCCTGATTCACAACTAACAAACACCCAATAAGTTTTTTATGTGAACGATAAACACTTAATACCTAAAACTCAACACAGGGAAAGAATATAAAAGATTACAGTAAGTTACAACCCACAAACCTCACTCTACAAAATGTGGAAACCACGTCTGAATGATTTTGACTGACTGATCGGTTTAGAGTTTGCAGTCCTCTCTCTGGACTGACCGTGGAGGTTTCTTGGATTTATTGCATTTGACAGTGTTTGAACCACTCAAGGGACCTATTTTTGCATTGTTTTCACGGTAAACACGGTACTTATCCAGTGGAAATTCCCTTGTAGAATATAACGATCCCGGCATGGTTTTTCGAGATGTGTATTGGGCATTATATAGGCTATATCTAATATAAGAAAATTAATATGCATAAAATCCTTATCCTGATGTAATTTATGTCGGAATATATTATCAAATTCATCACTTCATCAAAATTTACTTCCGCACGAAAAATGGGGATTACCGTTTCTCCGAGCTATACAAAGGAGAAACGTAAACGTTATCTAGGGCCGAGGACTTAAACTACCTACTTGGAGAACACGTCCCGTCTCAATACTACGGAGTTTTTGGGGGACTTCTCTTCTCCTCTGAATTATTCATTCCTCTTTACCTTTTTCTTTTCTGTCTCGATATTCTTCCGGTTCTTTCCTCTCTAAGGGCGTGTAAAGGTCCAGACCACCTTGTTCCCGTGTCAGTCGGGACGCCCGATTTCTTTATTCGAAGGGAGAGGACCCATAACAGGGGGAAAAGAAAAGAGAAAAAGGAGATAAAACAAGCCAGTTTGTCTTTCGATGTTTCTCTCGATATACTAACTCTCCCGAATTTCTTTGGTACTTTTTCTAATAAAAAAGGGAAACCTATTCTACGTTTGGTTTGTGAAGCTTCTGCAATTCCCTTCAAATATCAGTAAGTGTATTGTTGTCAAAGAAAATATACTAGTAAAGGAAGAAGGTTGTAGTTCTGTACCTTTCCTTTAGTTGTGAGACTCTACGTCAGGAGGTCCGAAGATATAGTTACCTACGTTCGTCGTCAAAATAATAAGTTCAAGGTTCCGTTGTATGACATTTTGGTCATTCGTATGTTTTTTTACATTGTGAATGAACAGGTTTACAGTATCTGGTTGATCCCTACCCATAGCAATATCACAAAATTGGCCATCGGGATGTGAGTGAAATTAGCTATGGCGAATAGCTAGAAAAAGGAAATGGAGGCGCCAACCAACAGCGAATCCCTGGCTGGGTGGGCGTTACCGTGAGTGACTACCGGTCAGAAAACACAACCCTCTCTCTTTTCCTCCATACCCAAATCTCTTAAAAAGGGGCTGCAACGGATCTGATACAGACTGATCCAGATTTGAACACTTCTGTGACGTCACAGAAGTGGCGCTACGGCTATTGGGCCAACTCCACCAATCAGGAGGAGACAGCCACGGTCATTGCCGTTGGAAAGCGCTGGAGACGCTGTAGTACATATGCCAGGCCTGTAGATAGTGCTGTTCCCACAGAATCAGCCCATGATGCAAAGACAGTGTTAAATTGAGCGAAATGAGGAATGGCTAAAATGCATGATCTGTTTGGTATTTTGAAAAATAAAAAGTCTAAATATGCCTTATATAGGTATGGTCCTACACTATATTATTCAAATATAGCATGATAGGTCCACTTTAACATCTCACATGAAGGCTATTGCTACTTGTAATGTTTATTATTATGCCCAGCATTGCAGCCTGCGACAACATTATTAAACTTAATAGAGAGGCGAAGTCCCTCCCTTTCCGGGGGACCTCCATGGGACCTTATTTCGGAAAAAGTATGTATTGAAGTCAATGGAGAGAGAAAGATTATCTTTCAATCCCGTTTGAATTGTGTCACGAATTACACATACGATGTTTGTCAATTTAAAAGATAATTTTGCAAGTCAAAAAAATTAAAATGTAATTTTGTGTGAAACCGCTCAATGAACTACATCTCCCGTCTCGCACCACACACCAAGACGGCCGTCACGTTGGCACATTTCACTTCTTTCTTTCAGAAGGAGGCGAAAAGTATTAAAAGAGGTGAAAATCACTACAAGTCTGGGCATGTTGAGAGCTGTACATACACACAAGGGGAGTTAGTCGGTTCCGTAAGAGCCAGCATGCGGGACCGGGATTCTGGGATTTGTAGTCTTTCTAGGTGCATATTTTTCATAGTCTTATATTTCAACAGTTTTAAGACAAACTGTGATTTTTATTATTTAAGATTGACAAACATATGTGTAATTCGTGGCACAATTCAAACGGGATCGAGAGATAGGTTTTCTCTCCCCATTGACTTCAATACATAATTTTTCAGAAATAAGGTCCCATGGGCCGGAAGTAGATGGGCGGGACTTCACCTCTCTATATTTTCTTACATTTATGAACAAATTAATACTTTTTGTTTTGAAAATATCAAAATGTGGGATTGAGTGTGTAGTGGCCCCTGAAAAATACAATCTGACTATAGTGCAATCCATTTATTTTTTTAATTCGGCTAAATCGATCGTAAACAACAACCATTAGCATGAACAAATGTTTTAAATATAGAGTGTATTATTAACTTTGACTACTATCATTTGTGCTTGATCTCATTGATACTTAAACAAAAACAAAACAGAGAGAGGTTAGAGTCAACGTAAAAACACAAAAACATTATGAGAGGGTTATTAAGAAAGCGTGTATTGACATAACATCCATCATCTTAGCAAATTTAAAATGTTGGCATGGAAAAATCTTCAATTGCGCTGCTTATGGTTTCTAATTCAAACTAAATGAAATGAAAAACCCATAAAGCAGCTTCCCTGGCTCAATCCTTCTGGAGCTGATGTTGTGCTGCCAGCCCCAGTAACAGCAGCTAGTTGTGAATGAATCATTCCCAAACTTAATTTGCTTAACATTGCAGCAAAAAGACGTCAGAGTGCAGGTCACACTGATCAACTAACAATTGAAATGTAGTGCATCAAACAGGTCAGTGACATTTAAAAGCTACTCACTCCACCTTCTTATTCATGGAGATTCCTCCTGATAGATCAAGCTTCAAACAGGCTTCTTTTGTTTGTGTTTCTGATGACTGATAAGTTAGACCTTTACCCACAGACACCCCTTTCTCCTTTCAATATTCACATCTTCTAGACCTCTGAAAAAACATTGAAAACCAACGGATCAGAAAACAATTTAACCTTTAAAATGAATATGCCTTTTCTGTGTGAACAGATGGCAACGTGTGGGAGGTTATATGCGCTGACACACTTGACAGCTGGTTGGACTAAGTGTACAATAACCTCAAATATGCATATTTATGCACGCACACTCTGCACTCGAAAATGTAATAAGCAACACGTTTACAGTATTTCAGAAGAGAAACACTTTTAATGGTGTAAGCCGCGCTTAGTCAGCCTGTCTCCAGACGAGTTGCCCTGTCTCGGTGCGAAGGGAACCAGTCAGCCATCTGTCGGTCTAATGAGCTGACTCTACTCCACCCAAAGCATTTCAACACCTCAGCAGCCCTCACCCCTCCATCCACAGCCCCTCAGTGTGTATGCACCTCTCATCATCTTCTGCTTTTGCTCAGCACTAGGAATGTAAAAGCAAAACATGTTACAGAAATCACTAGGGCAATATACTTTAAAGGTCACCTACTATTATCCAAAATCTACTTGTCCCCTCTGTGGAAAGAGACTCTGAAAGTTCCAGGAAAAAAAGATTCTCTCTCTTTTTGTCCTGATCCATTTATATAAAAACCTGTCTGAAAATGAGCTGATCAGATTTTGGCCACTTTATGATGTCATAACGATGTTTTGTCTTGTGTAACCATTAGCCAATCAGCAACCAAGGTAACCCCCCCCCCCATCTTATCACCTCAATCTCCTCCTAGAGCACCATTGTGTTCTTTTTAACCAAATCTCTCTCAGAGGGGCGTGGGGAGGGGCTCCTTATTTTCATCTGAAGTAACAGACAGAGAATCAGCACTTTGGAAACAGGGCTGAAACAGAGGGGATTAGAGAACAAAGAATAAAGTAAGCAGGAGAGAAGAGGGAGTTAGGTAAGCATAAGCAGAAGTCGTCGTTTCTGTCGTGGTCTGAACACTTGGACTCTCTCTATCCTCTGTCACGCGACTGTCCTCTCTCTCTTTCTTTCTCGGCCCTGCTCGGTGAAAGTACGATCTGACATATTTGACCCTACCCTGTATACACATACTTTCCGCTCGCTCTCAAGCCTTGTCTGGAAAATCACACACACACACACACACACAACACACCACAACACACACACACACACACCACACACACACCACACACACACACACCCCCCCCGCAGATCCCACACACACACACAAGAGGTGATTGTCTGGTCTGACTCATGACATTTGTCTTCCGGTGTGATGTCCCAATTATTTTGTGTACCTAGTTATTGAGTTGTATGGGTTGATTGGTGGATGATGTATGTGGTGTGGATTCTCCGTGGTGATGTGTGTTGTGTGGTGATGTGGTGTGTGTGTGTATGTGTGGTGTGGTTATGTGTGTGGTTGTTGTGATTGTGTGTATTGTGTGGAGTGGGTGGTGTAGTGTGTGTGTGTGTGTGTGTTGTGATGTGTGTGGTGGTGTGTGTGTGTGTGGGTGTGTGGGTGTGGTGTGTATGTGCCTCGAACTTACTGTGTTCAGTGGCTAAGCTAGTCGTGGTAGAGTCGTGATATGGTCAGGTTCGAGTACAAGAGCTACGAACAGTCATGTCAAACGATCTGCACTGTATCTATTACGTTTGCATTATCGTTGATGTACGAGAGTTTACTAGATCTGTATCATGTGAATTCGATGAAGACAATCTATAATTGTCGTTATTATGATTATTTGTGAGTCTTAAGTCTTTTACAGCTGTCCTTCCCCTATCCCAACTCGAGAGCTAGTAGAAAGAGGAACTTGAAATATAGTTGCGAAAGAATAGTAAACTAGAGCCCTCTGAGTGCCCTTCTAATGTCAGGAGCGGCAGTTAGTCTCATCGTGTGTATGTCAGGGATAGGTTTAGTTTCTGGACTCGTTTTCTTAAATAGATCCCATCTCTAGTACTACGTCCCTAATGCTTCGATTAGACTCTCGACACGGCATCTGGACTTCAATAGGATAAAACACGTTATTTGGCGCAGACGACGTATGTAGAATCGTCTATGTGAAAGGAGGAGATAAGATAGACACCTGATTGTCACGTAAAAACGGTGAATCGACCCGTTCGTATAAAGCGAATACTGTCTCCCGGTACAGTGCAAACCACGAGACTCCTTTAGTGGCCAAATCGGACCTGCGAACATAAGATGACCGGGTAATATACTCGATATCGTCCGTACACTGCTCCGAGTAATAAGCGACGTGTCCAAGTACAGACACGTCAAATGACCTCGTCAAGTCGTTTTTGTGGCAAACGAAACCTTGATAGAGAAAGGAAAGCAGGACAATAATAACGTTGTTCAGCATAAATATTTCTCCATCAAACCTTCGTACAAATGAACGAATCTATAATATCTAATGTCGTGCATTTGCCACGTTGAAGTCAATTCCAATAATGAACACAATCAAGAGTGTCACAATCTTCAAGTTGATGTTGCCAGACAGAGACAAAATAATGCAAACTAAAACACCAATAACTTATATGAGATTTATGCTCACGGAAATCGTCTTGTCGCCCCTTAAATCTTATGACTATCTCTAAAATAGAATAAGGGTTAACAAGCTAACGAGTGCTGACTGAGTCCCTAAACGTACTAATGTGTTACAAAAAGATCTAGAAACTCCGCAACTTCATTTAAGGGAACAACCAGTGACGCCACCGAAAGATTAGAGCTCATGCGAACGAACTATCGTGTACAGAAGCTCAGTGAACGAAGTCTTCGCTCCGTTCAAAAGGGACCGTAAAGCCTTTTGTTGCTCCCTTGTCCGCTCGTACCACGACCAACCGCAGTATACTCTCCGGCGCACGTCCAAAAAGCGTGTACTAAACCCCTTAACCAGGCGACGGGTTTCGTAACACCCCTACAAATTCTGGCGTTCCAGATAGGTACACCGTCGAGCTGTAAAGAGCTATACTCATGCGCACCGAGGCCATCTTAAGGTCATACGACCTTTACCCTTCAGAAGCCGCCGAGCTACGGCATCATACGAAACTTTATCACCGAGAACCTGCGTACGAAATGAGTGTAACTCTTGTGGGCGTGTCAACTCAGCAGAAGGTGTTGACAACGTAAGACCCTTCACTTTCGGTGGTTCTGAATCTATGTCCCTTTTACACCGTTATTTATGCACAACATCTAGGAAAAGACGACGTAAGCTAAGTAGCGTTCTAACTACCACAGTGAGAAAATTGTTACTACACATGTCAGACTTACGAAACTCTGCCGCGGGGAGTCTAATTTGTCCCATACAACGTCAAGTATCAACCATTGGCGAGATTTTAAATTAACGAGTGTGTAACTTAACTGTTTATTTTTTTAGAGTCATGAAGGAAATTCTAACCTCCTCCAATCTTGAGCTCCGAGAAAAAGGTAGGTTACCTAGGTGACGAATTAACCATAAGATGTGAATGGTTCAAACTTTATGATAGAAGAGACTTATTTTTGATATGACCTAATAAAGAGTGTTGAGTGAATATACTAAGTACTATCTGCCTCTCCTTCGGGAGGAAGTGTATGAAGTAAGTTTTTGTCATAAACAGTTACTATATCGGAAATTTCAGGGGATCGTATGACAAAAAGGAGTATAATCCAGAGTCTATGTTTTGTATAGAGACTTCCACAAACCGAGGTTGGTGTTGGGCTAGTAACATC